GAAATTTGCAAGTGGTCCTTTTCTGCTAGGCCTGGGAAAAGCAAGGACTAAACACAGAAAGCAGCATCGGGTGGGGGGGAGGGGCAGAAATAACCAACAGCTTATAGGAAATAATATTTCTCACCTGTCTTTTCTGTTGCGGGTCCATGACGACATTGTTCAGTTTAATCTGCTTAGCAGCAGAACAATGCAAGTCATATCTCCCACCCCATGTTCAGCCCCAGGTGCTTGCACGCCTACTCATGTGCAAATACCTGCCTCTGTTTTCTTCTGCTGTGTAAAACAACCTCTCAACTTTCCTTGAAACCTGGTGTGTTATTTAAGAAGCCTGATATCTGATCCCGCTGACAGCTCCCTCCCTGCCCACCCACGCCCTGTTGATGTCAGACTTTATAGTGAAAACAGCTTGCGAAGCTCTTTTGTTATGTTTTACTCACATCTTCTTATATTCCACTAAATCAGGTCTATTAATCCTAACACAAGAGAGGAGTGTTGAAATCTCCAGCTGCATGTGTTTAGTAATTTATGGTATTTACACTCAAGGGTACACGGCTCCAGTAATAACTGTAATTAATGCAATTACAAATCTACTCTCCTGCACATAGAGAGGGTACAACAGCTGACTTACCAAATAAGCAGTATTTCAGGGGATCCTTGCACATTGCTCTTCACCTGTTCCCCTCCTCCCCCCCCAAGAGAATATTCATATTGCTTGAAGAAGCACCACATAAACTTTTTTCCTTCAAAGGCGTTCAGGACAAATGCTGGTGAGAATAAATTTGGGGCTCAGGTTGCATCTCTGGAGGTGTTAAAAACCCCACCCTGGTAGCGGGGAGGCTCGTGGTCATGCTTTCTCCAGTGAGCACTGGAATATCTCCTTTGGGATGATTGGGGGATTAATGTCTTGGTGCATGGAGCCATTAGGCCCCTTTCCAACAAAAAAAAAAAAATCTCAACTGTACTGCCATTGCTCATGAAACAAGAAATTTCTTGACTGTAGCAAATAGAAATCAGGGGTTTATATTAACTTGGCAGTCACAGCTGGGCCCACAAGAGCTGGATAAGAATCTAAACTTCCCTAAGGTCCCAGCCTACTGATTCAGATTGGTGCCTTACAGACAGATGCCAGATTTCTGCTTTTTTTGTGTGTAGATAAAGTAGCACCTCTGTCTGATGAGGGGACTAACCTGGGTAAAGTTTGTGGCCCAGAGAGATTCCTGGGGTTCATTATGTCACCAGATTCCATAGAAAATATGCAAGGGATCTAAGCACTTTACCACTTCTAATAAACACCTTTGGGAAATGAGTATCTCTCTCATGAATGAATGTAGAATAGGCAGTCTCCTTTTCTGTGTTAAGAACTGTACAAAGGGGCCATGATTCATTTATGCATGTTGAAATCCAGGTGCATTATATGCTATGGAAAGCCAACTCACTATTCTTTCCTTGTTTCTTTTTTTCCCTCCAGTTTGACAAGTACGGCCCCAAATTAGACAACCCTTACTTTCGACATTCCAACGTGAGTGCTCATGTCTAGGTTGCTCTTCTGTTTATGCTTCCACTTGCTGCTGTTTCGCTCAAATGTTTTTAATGGCTAGATGGTGGTTTGATTCATCTGTTCAAAAAAATCTTTCTGATTTCTGTTTGAGGGTTTTTTTTAAATGTAAAAAAAAAATCTCTGTATTTTCATCTTTGTCTTCTGCATTTTCATTGCTTTAGCTTAATATTATTGTTCCTGGGATGGCAGAGAATGTGCACAGATTTATAACCACACTGGGTTACTGCCCTGGCCTTGCAGTCACCGCTTCTCACAGTGCAGTGGCCTCCGGTGCATGGTCCTTTCTTTTCACAGAATGTTGCTCAGGTCACAGTGGAAAGAGGGGACTTGGAGATCCCTTGCTAGTGCTCCCCATTTCTTTACAATACCAAAAATCCCTCCATTTTGGGACTTGTAGCAGTCTGTGCTTAGGAGAGACCCAGACAGATTTGTGGGGGGAGGTACAACCACAATGCTGTATGAATGACATGCAGTTGGTTTGTATTAGCAGAGTTGTACCTGCGGTTAATTTTTCCTTTGTCAAATGAAGCAATTTCAGACATTTCAAAATAGGATTAATTTGTTGCACATTGCATTTTTCTTTAAGAGGAGCCAATGGCAAGGCAAACCTAAAAACAAACCATTTCTATTCCAAGGGAACGTGGGGTGGCCTACTGTATTGCAAAAAGACAGCAAATTTTAAAGACAGATGTGTTCAGCACAAACCCTAAAACGCATCAGATCAACACATTTTCAAATGGGGGTTTTGCCTTTCAAAATTTTTGAAGTCCCTTTAAGTGCCTGTTTTCCTTTTGGTCAAAGTTTAATTGAAACCATTTTTGCCAGGCTGAGCTCCTGTCTCCATTATTGTTCATGTCTTCCTGTGACATAAGCATCTCTTCTTCTTTTGTAGTTCTTTCCAACCTATCCTCCAGCAATGCCTGGAATGCCACCCATGCTTCCACATTCAGGTCCCTTTGGGTCGCTTCAGGGAGCATTTCAACCGAAGGTACAAACTTATTACTGTTGTATTCGCTACAGGCTTTATTTTTTTGATGGGAAATTGTGTCTATGGTGACTTTCAAGGATGATTTTTAACTAGGTCGGGTGCTTTGGGGATGTAGAGATTCTTCCTTGGAGAGGGGTGCAGCAGTATACATGCAAGATGAAGTGAAATCAAAGCAGGGCCTCTGGATCAACTGAAGTATTCAATACAGAATGTTTACTTAGTTTTAATAGACGCTGATGAATCCCAAAGCACTTTACAAATTAAATAGATTGATAAAGCAAATGATACCCAGGGGTTATTCCCCTTCTGGAAGTAACTCAGCTTTGGGATGAAACTCACTAACAAAGAGTAGAGAGTGCTTTTTGGTGGTTTGGACAAAAGCAAGGAATTGAGTTTTATCCTAAGCCTTGCCACTGACTTGCTGTCTGACTTTGCCCAGAACACTTAACCCTCTGGTCCTTAGCTTGTGCATTATACAGTGAGGTTAACATCCCATTGACCTTACAGTAGTTTTATGAGGTCTGTAAACTGCTTTGAGCTGCTTAGATGGAAGGTCCTATATAGCTAACAGGTGATAGTATAACTAAGGATATGTGGTTGTCAGGGCAAAGTTTGCAGATTTCTCCATTCTCACATAAACTCTGTAGCATTAACCTTTTTGCAAACATAACTTCTTTTTTATATAATTTTACAAATATATACAAGTCTCATAATGCACAGAGAATTTTGATGGCATTCTTAAAAATGTGACATTCAGTCTTGTTTTGATATAACATGTTTATACCTTCCTAAATGCTGTGGTTTTATAGATCTGTCATCTTTAAACACAGCTCTGTACAGAGATAAGGAACTCTCTGCAGAATTATACTTTATTGAAGTTTTTCAGAAACCAGTGCTGTATCCAGTCATGGTCTGTTTGCACTAGAAGGATCATTTGTGCAGTCATACCAGTAGAAATTTAGGGCCAAGTTGCGCATTTATGCATACTGATCAGTAGTTACTCAAGTGAATAATTCCACTGGAGTCAGTAGATGTGAGTAACAACTTACCACTGTGAGTACAGCCTTCTGCCATCTTCCCCACTTAGGTTTTATTTTTTTAAATGGAAGCTAGAGGAGCTCTGCAATGGTCCATTTTTTTTTCTGTTTTCTTTTATTTTAAAGATAATCGCCAATAGTGTGGACTCTATAAAAAGACTCATCTTAATAAGAACACTGCAAAAAAAGAGTGCATAAATGGAAGAATAATTTCTGCAGTTCACTTTAGGCAGAAGGGTGTGCAGGGGGTAGAATTCAGATAGATAAAGTGTAGTTACCTGACATGGAGTTTAGCCAGGACACCAGGGTTAATGTTCTAATCACACAAAGACTATCAAGAGCTTTCCCATGGTCACAAGTGGGCAGAACCTCAGTGTTACATATCATCCGAAAACAACGTTGGAACTCCTGGTGTAGTAAAAGTTGTGTTCACATTGGAATACAGAGTCGTTTTGGCATGAGGCTGCTGATAATGAAGCAACCTCTGATGCCATGATGGTATGCTCTTCCGATTTCCTTCTTCATTACTAATCTCTGTGATATTGTCATAGTGTAAAATATCTTAAGGCCAACAGAAAAATTGTTCTGCAGAAAGAAGGCAAGTGTGAGCACAGGCCCTTTACATTTTTAAGTGCTGTACAAGTAGGATATATTTTAGAGATAATGTATAGAAAGCTTGGTAGTTCAAGGTTAAACGGCACAAAGTCACAATCTCTTGTGATGGTTAATCAGTAACATCATGTGGGCTTTGGGCACTGCTGTATTTACCTGGAATCTAACATCTGGAGGCACAGGAATGACTTGGAAACTTGATCTGTAAGTTACCATGTTATTTTTCCAGTTTCCTAGAGGAGATGAACTGGAACCTCTGGGGAAAGCTCATAAGTCATTGTTAGCTCCTTATTCTTCCTCACCTTCTCTTCCTCTCAGTCTGCTTGATTAAAGCCTAGATAATCAGGACTGGCTTTGTGGCTTGATTTTGGCACAATGAATTCTGCATTCCTTGCCTTATGAAACAAAGGTCTTATTTTTGTTTCTTCCCCTCCCGTGTCACTTGCCTAAGGCCTGATGTGTAAATCCACAGTACATAAATCCAGGCTGACTGTAAACTTCTCAATGAGCTTCCCAGTGGACATTTCTCACAAGCTAAGAACTTGAAAAGGTCAAAAGTATTCAATTTACTTTGCTGAAGGAAGCATTCGCATCTGTCTCCAGGGAACAGAAGGATGGAATGACATTCTGCCATTAATGTGTTGTGATCCCAGATCTCTTGATTCTCATGGCTGTGACTTCTTTTCCTCCCTGTACCTCAGCTGACAAAGAAACCCTGAGAATCCTTTGAATGCAGGTCTGGCGGGCGAGCTTGCTCTCTCCTACGCAATTCAGCATTCTCCTTAACATTAATATTGAAATTTAAACAATATTGACCTGAGGGAATTAAATTATAGCCCCCTATACCTACATTTATTGATTGGCCTTAAAACCTGGTGATTTGAAATCCACTATAATTTGACCTAAATTATAGGCAAAATAGCCAGCTAGGGGATTAGCCCTAACCCCCTCCACACTTGGCTTTTTTGGAGACAAAGATGTAGTTGCTTAAGGAGTAAAAGACTGAAGGCATATGCACAATCCCTGATTTTAGGCTCCTCTTCCAGCAGGTGAGGGGTGGAGGGGTCTCTGAGTTAGTTTAGAACAGGCATGGCCAACCTGTGGTACAGGCTGCCACTGTACGTGGCACATGGCAGATGAGGGAGGGGACTGGTAGCACAGTAGCAGATAGGGCAGGAAGCAGAAAGCAAAGCAGAAAATTGGACAGGGAGCACAGGGACAGAAAAAGAAAGAAAAGCAGCAGATCAGTCAGAGAATACAGGGCCGAGAGCAGAAAGCAGGGCAACAGATTGGCTAGGGAAAGGGGATCAGGGTGGCAATGGGGAGTGGAGGTGTGGGGCTAATTTGTAGTATACCTGCTGAAAAGGTTGGATCTCACTGGTCTAGAGCAGAGAAGAATTAAATGGCATCATGAAGCAGGACAGACTGGGATTCTGCACTCAGTTTTTAATCCCCATTGGGAAACAACAGAATAATCAAAGGAAATGAAGTTGGGCAAGTTATAAAAGAAGTTGTTGGGCACCCTGTAGGATTTATCAGGTGGTTTTTAAAGCTCAGTCTCTGCTTAGCTGCTTTATTGCAAAATATCCACCCATTCATTTCAGCTTGTAGCAGTGCTAGTGTTGATGGGCTTTTGACGTTTTAACTAAGGGGTCTACGGTGTCACTGTGCTAGGAGGTAGCGTGGCCCCGGGCATCTGAACTGGGTGCTGGGTAGCCTGGGTTCTGTTCCTGACTTGCCATTGGTGTGACACTGGGCACACCTGTGCCTCTTCTCTGGGCCTCCCTCCCATCCTTTGTGTAGTTAAGCAAGCAGCTTCTGGGGGCAGGGTGCTAACTGTCTCTAACTATCCATTTGTACAGTGCCTAGTACAATGCAGTCATGCTATCAACTGGGGCTTGGGTAGATGTGGCCCAGATATTACTACTACTGCTACTACTGTTACTAAATAATAACAGATGACGGTGATTAAATGCTGTTGGCTGCCAGTGAGAGATAACATTTAGCACTAATGCAGCAATATGCATAGTCAAAGCACAGTACAAATATTGACTAATTAATGCCATTAACTTCAGCTAGAAAAGTTTTGTGCTGCAGAGTACAGCCATCACTTACGCTATTTTCTTACTTTGTAGACTTCAAACCCAATTGATGTAGCAGGCAGACCAGGCACAGTCCACCATACTCTCTTACAGAAGACTCCAGGGGTAAGCAACCATACGTAATCTTTCTTTTACTGTGTCTTTAACGCCAATAAACAGTATGATTGCTCATAATAAAGGAAATACAGTTTGAGCAAGAATTAGCCTTTCTCTTGGCTTGTTTTATCTAGCAAGGTGGTGATAACCTTTGCCAATTGAGTGCAAGAGGATTTACTGACTCGTGTGAAAATCAAGCCAAGTGGGGCAAGAAGCTCCTTGAATCTTGTTCTTCTTAGCCCTGATGAGACACGCTCCAGTGCAGGACGGTCACTTGGTTCAGACAACCCTTGGCACTGTGGCTGCTGACTGACATGGGGGGCGGGGGGGAACCCATGTGCCTTACCAGCAGCAGCAGTGCATTAGTTTGACCAAACTCTGCAGCTATTAGATAAAAGTGCCAAAAAGCCCCACTGGAACGCCTGATCTATACAAATGTTTGGCAAGGTGGGTCGAGCTAATGAGATGCCTCTTCTGGGCACGTGCTGGGCCGAGTGCAGGGATGCACAGAGTTTAAAGTAAAGCACTTTGCGGGTGTGGGCGTGTTACATCTGTAAGCAGCCTGTTCGGTTACTGTCGTGCAACTGGTTTGCATGTCATAAAATCTCATGCAAGAAATCGGTGCAAGAAATGAAAAAATAAGTGTTAAAGCTTTTGGGGTTATCTCTGTCACAGAAGCCTTCTCCAGAATTATGTCCTTCTGTAGGTTTAAGAAAGACTCTGATTATTGTTTCTTCTTCTTTCACAGGTATCAGACCCCTATAGGCCTCCAGTAAGAGTGAGTAAAATTTGTGTTGGATTTTTTAACTGTTTAATCCATTTTGCATTTCACATGTTTTTGTAGCTGAACACTGAACGGAAAGTCTCAGGCTCATCCTTCACTTGAAGGAGCATTTAGGCTGTCTCTGTATTAATACCATTTGGGATAAAACTCAATCTTATTTTGCCTCAGTTTACCTATAGTATGTTTCCTGGTATAAGTTGACAGGCCTTGAATATAAAATGACTATGCAAGATATTACAGCCCTGTACTCCTAAGCACATTCAGGGTCATGGCTGCTCAACCTAATGACCAAAATAAGCATGTACTACTCTACATGCTGCCTACCCAACAGAGCCAATGCAGCTAAGAGTAAGCTGCCTACTTTCCTGGCTCAGGCATCACAAACAGAACAGGTAACTATGAAATCTACTCTATTAAAGACATGTTAATACTCTTCATGTTTTTTACATCGGATTATGGGTGGCAATATACAAGTCCGAGACAACAGAGCCCAGAGCTGTTTTGCAGAGCAGTTCCACATGCTGGTGTCCACATGCCGGGAGTCATAGCAAAACAAGGAAAATATCACAGTTTCCCTCTCCCCCCTTTTCCTTTAAATTCAGTTTAATTCACTTCAAAAGAAGAAGAAGAAATGGTTGGTCACCTCTGCCAGCAGAGCGACTGGCCTCTTTCATTTCTCAACTGCCCGTTTTACAGAAAGGGAAATGAGCAGTTCTGTCAGAAGGCTTTGTGGATTGCGAGCACTTAAGTTAATCTACATTCTTATCCTTTCAATTGCAGAAGCCTGGGAAGTGGTGTGCAGTTCATGTACAGATTGCCTGGCAGATCTACCATCACCAGCAGAAGATAAAGGTAATGTGGCCAATTTATGGAATGAAGCCAAGTTTTGCTGGTTTATTATAGGTTACATTCTAGTGACTAATGGCAGGAAGCAGTTACTAGTGATGATGCTTCAGCTTGAGATGTGTAGATTAACTAAGACTTTCAATCTTTTAAGATCTACTGTAGAAGCTGTTAAGTTTCTCTGAGGGAAAGGGAGTTTGGCTCAAGGATAGCAAAATAAGCAGGAGATTATGAAGTATGCTGCTAGAGGGAAAGCTGAAGAGAGAAAAGGAGAGGATAATTTTGCCTGTGATCCAGCCTTGTAAAAGCCTGTGTGTTTGATACCATTTCTGGTCTACACCAGTACCTCCTGTGGATTATGCCATATCATCTGAATCAGAATTAAAAGACCGATATAGTGAAGAATATTTTACAAACAGAGTTGGCAAACAGAATGACAGTTACTGTGTTTGGGTTCTTGGGTTTTTCCTTTGATATTATTGAGGCAGAAGGGAAGGATTTAAAGCTGAAGAGGTGATAGGAGCAGGTACACTGAGTGCCATTACACCTCCACTTAAAACAGCAGCTACCACAGTGAAAACCATTTCTGTAGTGATTTTTTTTCCTGACCCCCACAGCAGTTTTTGCCTTTTGTTAATAATGGGCATGAACTGCTTTCACTAAGAGTCCTTTAATTAATGGCACCAAAACTGATCAATGTAAAATTCAAGAAGTAAAAATACCATGTTTATTCTATATGGTTATAAGAAAGGCATATATATCCACATAGGTGAAATTTCTGTGCATCCATTTGGCTTTTTGATCATAGCCATGTGCACTTCTTTAGCAGTAGTTGTTTCCCCTCAGTATCCCTCTTTTCGCCCTCCCCACTCTTCATTATGAGGTTACTCCTTGTAAGAGAGGAACAGCCTATGAAGATCTGTCTCTGAGCTTAAAGCAAAAAAACATGCAACTGTCGGGCAATTCTTAAGGCTTGGTTCTGTCTGTTGCTTTCAGCCAGCAGAACATTTTTTGTCAGGTCGAGACTGCAGACTGATCCTAGGGTGCTGTGCACTCAGTGTATCATGTTGCATGCTCCACTGTGTATGCTGTGGAGCTAAGAGCTCACTTCAGGCCTTATTCATGTGGATGAGGCAGGCAGCTGAGAGGCTGTGGAGTGAAATGGCTTTACAGATGCTGTCAGAGCATGACTATGGTACATGACACTGCCATCATTCTTGCTAACTCTTCCTAGCAGTACTAAGCTGGAGTGAGCTTGCACTCTCTCTCTCTTCTCCCCCACCCCAAAGAAAGGAAGTGCATAATCAGATTGTTCTTGTATCATCTGACAGCAAATGCAGCTGGATCCCCACAAGCTAGAGATAGGCGGTAAACTTGACCTGTTCAGCAGACCTCCTGCCCCTGGAGTGTTCCCAGGATTCCACTATCCACAAGACCTTGCCAGGCCTCTCTTTTCCACCACAGGTAAGGGAAGAATCATTGTTTATTGTAGAAATAATACACAGTCAACAGATTTCATGTTTTCCCTATTTTCCCCAATAATTAAAGTAGCTCAATGTTACTGCATAATGTTGTAAAAATATTGGAGAATATAGTTGACTGTGATTTTAAAACACAAATCTCCTGGTCGTGCTGTTTCCTGCTATTCCAGTTCAGAAGGCATAGGGGACTAAGCCACAACCCAACAGGTAGTGACAGGTAACACTGCAGTCTGATAGGAATTGGTTTACTGAACTTGGGTCTGTCCAGCTGACTTCTCATATACCTGACAGATCTTGCTGTGTAGGGCTGGTCTTTAAAAAAAAAAAAAAAAAAAAAAAA